GTCAGGTATTAGGGGGAAAAGATCATTTGATTTCACTATGCCCACTCTATCAAGATCCATTTTCACAAGTTTTCACTGTCATTATTTTTATATACACCTGCTGGGTACATCATTTCCTCTGAGGCCTCATTGGCATGCTACTTAAAAAAGGCTTTTATTTTCCTCACTTATCACTTCTGGAAATCATAAGACATGTGTTTTTAATACTAGAATATAAAAATCTTAGTCCTGGCTGGTGTGGCTCAGCGGACTGAGCTCCAGCCTACGAACCAAAGGGTCACCGGTTCAATTCCCTGTCAGGGTACATGTCCAGGTTGCTGGCCAGGTTCCCAGTAGGGGGTGCGTGAGAGGCAACCACACATTGATGTTTCTCTCCTTCTCTTTCTCTCTCCCTTCCCCTCTGTCTAAACACAAATAAACAAAATCTTTTAAAAAAATCTATAAAAACAGCTTTGTGTCATTTCCTGCTGTATCTGAAGTACCTGTAACAATGTCTTTTTTTTTCAAAGATTTTATTTATTTTTAGAGAGAGGGGAAGGGAGGGAGAAAGGGAGGGAATGAAACATCAATGGGTGGTTGCCTCTCACGGCCCACTTACTGGGGACCCAGCCCGCAACCCAGGCATGTGCCCTGACTGGGAATTGAACCACCAAAGCTTTGGTTCACAGGCCCATGCTCAATCCGCTGAGCTACACAAGCCAGGGCGTGTAACAGTGTCTTACATCTAGAACAACAGACTCAATAAATATTTGTTACATGAATGAACATGTTTACACCTAACGGAATCCTCCTTATAAATTAGGGATTAAACCTACTTTACAGAACAGAAAATAGAAGTCAAGTCATCTGCCCAAGGCAAAATCTTCTACTGTCAAAACCAAGGCTCTTTTCACCCCCACCTTGTTTGAAAAGGTGTAGCTCCAACAAAGACTCAGTGAAGTATCAACTATATGTGGGCACTGTGCTTTGCACAAGAGTTATATACTGTCCTCACCGACAAAGAATTTATAGATATCAGGTAATTCAGTAGACTCTTGCCCTAAAAGCATGAAAAATTCATAAATATGCCAATACTACTAAGAGATCCTAATAGATGTTTCCCCAAAATGTAGAATAGATTTCAAACAGAAGTTAGGATTTATATGCATTTTACAGAGTATTTCCAGTTATCGCTTCATTTAATTCTCATGGGAATCCTATGAAATAGGTAGCTGTATCATCACCCTTACTTTAGGGATAAGGCACTGAGGATAATAAGGTTAAGAAGGACTTGGATTCAAGATCCTATACAGCACTTGTTACTTACTACAAAAGTAATGTCTTCAATATACAGAACTTGTATAGTAGAATGCATAAGAAAAATAAAATACAGAGTAGTAACAAAGATTTAATTAATAAAGATTTCAATCAGCCCTGGCTGGCATAGCTCAGTAGATTGAGTGTGGGCTGCGAACCAAAGCATCGCAGGTTAGATTCCCAGTCAGGGCACATGCCTGCGTTGCAGGCCACGTCCCCAGTGGGGGCCACATGAGAGGCAACCACACATTGATGTTTCTCTCTCTCTCCCTCCCTTCCCCTCTCTAAAAATAAATAAATAAAATCTTTTTTTAAAAAAAGGCAGGTACTTTCTCAACTAAAAAAAAAAAAGATTTAAATCAAACTGACAAGAACACACTCTGTAGTCCAAGAAAAATCAAGACCCCTGTGCTCCAGATGACAGCCTCAGCACTTATCCAGCCTCACAAGCTGGCACCTTGAAACCCCTTCTGTTGTCTTCCCATCTTTTCCTCTCACATTCAATGGTCACCAGACCTGCCATTACCCACATGTCTGAATTTATCTCCTCCTTCCTATAACCTCTGCCGTGCTCCAGACCCTCTCACCATCTCTCACCTGGATTCCTTTCTCTCTGAGTGATTGTAACACTTTCCTGGCATCCCCTAGCCATGGAATAAACAAATTTTTTAGGAAGAAATGGACTGAAAACATACCAGATGAGCACTCAATCCATGCCAGTAGTAGGTACCAAGTACAGGGGGCACCCAGTTTGACAAGAAAGACAACTAGGTTATGTGTCCTAAAGGAAGTCAAGGTATGAAGCTGCTCTCACTTCAAACACCATGACGTCTAGCTCACTGAACTGGCCCATCCCCACCACCACGCATTTGGGTACTTTTTTCCCCTAGTCAGTGACCTCCCTGACTTGGAGCATTCTTGCCTTTTAGTCCATCCAGCAGGGCTGAGGGCCCAAGCCTGTCTCTCCTGCACGATGCCTCCCCTGAGACACCATGGCACAGGCCTCTCTCAGCCCTCCTCTGTATTTCCTGCATCCTTGTTCACAGCTCCACTGTCACCTGTCATAGTGTACGATGTTGTCCGCCTCCCTGACCAGACTGGGTACTTTGGCGATCAACACCAAGGACAGTAGTTATTGGTCTTCCTCCCGCCCCAGCACACATTAGCTCATCCCTTTAGTAACAGGGGCTCACTGTGGGCAGTGAGTGAAGTAGCCCCTCATCCGGGATGATCTCCAGCTGAGAATCATGGCTGCTACTGGGGTGCCACATGCTTAAAAAATTGTTTAAAATGAACACTCTGTTAAAGGTATCATAACTTGGGCATGTTTCCATGAGGTCATACGCGTTATGAGATCTCTAGTTGCCACACCTAATTAAAATAAAGAGAAACAAAATAAACTTATTTTCATCAATAAAATTAGGATGCAGGAATCAAAAGTTTGACTTTGTACTAAGCAGTAAAAACTACAGCCAAACAATATATAGCAAGAAACTGAAACAAACTGGATGGGAGCATTTAAAGACCCAGTGATATATATAAATATATATGCAAGCAAAGTAAAAAAACAAACAAATCAAGAAAATCAATCATAATAAAGGGCTAATCTCCCTAATATATGAATTCCTAAAAATCAAAAGAACCAAGAACTTATGGAAAAATGCGTAAAGGCTATCAATAGAAATGATTCAAGACATAGGGAAAGATAACAAGAAGAAGAAAAAAAGCAAAGTAATATTATACCAAGACGTTCTCCCCCCCTGAATTGACAGCATGAAGCCATACTATGGGTAAGGTTATGGGAAAGCAGACACTTAGACTGCCAGTAGGAATTAAAAGTGTGATAGATCGCCAGGAGGAATTGAAGTCCTATGGGAGTCACTTTGGTGGTATCAATAAAAATTACAACTGCATATGGCTTTTGCTTAACTATCCCACTTCAGGGAACATATCCTACAAATATACTTGTACACACACAGGATATCATAGGTGCAGTACTGTCCGTTAACATAATTTGCAATAGCAAAAATTTGGAAACTACATTAAATGTTCATCAAAAAGAAGTATTGAGGGGGGCAGTGATGGGGGGAAAATGCAGACAACTGTAATTGAACAATAAAATAAAAAACAGAAATATTGACAAGGGGCTACAGTATTATAAAGATTATTTTTAAATAAAATTCTCAATGTAATAAAAAATACAGTACTCCTAGATATAGTGCAGCTGAAAAAACAAGAATGTGCCTAGAATGCATCCTTTTGTGTAAAAAGAAGGAAAGTAAAATGTAATCATTGTAAATGCTTATACATGCATAAAGAAACTATGAGCACATGCAGGGAACTAACAAGAATGGTTACCTCAGTAGATTAGGGATGGTAAGAACAAAATCATTGTATTTAGACACACGCACGTATACATTTTTTTTAAAAAAATCCTCATCCAAGCCCTGGCTGGCATAGCTCAGTGGATTGAGCTCGGACTACGAATCAAAGTGTCACGGGTTCAATTCCCAGTCAGGGTACATGCCTGGGTTGCAGGCCATGACCCCCAGCAACCACACATTGATGTTTCTCTCTCTCTCTTTCTCCCTCCCTTCCCTCTCTAAAAATAAATAAATAAAAACTTAAAAAAAAAAAAATCCTCATCCAGCCCCTGGCTGATGTAGTTCAGTGTATTGAGCATGGGCCTCTGAACCAAAGGGTAGCCAGTTCGATTGCCAGTCAGGGCACATGCCTAGATTGCGGGTCAGGTCCCCCAGTGGGGGGCACAAGAGTGGCAACCATGCATTGATGCTTCTCTCCCTCTCTTTCTCCCTACCTTCCCCTCTCTAAAAAATAAATAAAATATTTTTAAAAAAATCCTTATCTGAGGATATATTCACTGATTTTGAGAGAGAGAAACGTCAATGTGAGAGAGAAATGATCAATACATGCCCTGACTAGGGACCGAACCTTCAACCTAGGTATTGCGTCCTGACGTGGAAAGAAGGAATCAAATCTACTAATGTACGGAACAACGTTCCAACCAACTGACCCACCAGCCAGGGCACATACAATATGTATGCATTTTTATATTGAGATTTAGTAATATATCACCTATTGAAATTTTAAGTTAAAAAATTAAAAAAAAAAAAAAAAAAAAAGGAAAGAAGATGAGCCCTAGCCAATGTGGTCCGGTGGGCTGGGTGTCATCCTGCAGACAGAAAGGTCGCAGGTTCAATGCCTGGGCTGTGGGTTCTGTCCCTGGTCAGTTCAGTCCCCAGTCAGGGCACATACAAAAGGCAACCATAAGAGATGTTTCTCTCTTACATCAATGTTTTTCTCTCTCTCTCTTTTCTTCTCCCTCCCCTTCTCTCTAAAATCAGTAAGCATGTCTTCAAATGAGGATTAAAAAAAAGAAGGAACATTTTGAAAAGTTGTTAATATATAACTAAACCCTCAATATCAATGAGTATGTACTGAAAAGCAAAAATTATAAATATTCTATGGTCTCAATTATATTTTTAAAAAATACACAATACCTACCTACATGCATGCATCCAAATGCATAAAAAAATAAGTGAACGTAATACACTAAATCTTAGCCTCTCAGTTTGAGGAAAACAGTGGATTTCGGTTTTCTTGTTTTACTTTCCTGTGTTTTCCAAACTAACATATATGACTTTTATAAGTAAGAGAAACAATGGGAGAAAATGCACCTTTACCTCAAAATCTGCTCCTGACAAACAGCAATTCTCTTCATGAATTTGTAAAATATCTTATCTCCACTTCTAATTGTGGTCTTCTCATATTTTTCATTACCATCACTAGGAAGACTAAAAAGAGAAGCAGAAAATACTTTTGAGTGTCTATATCCAAAGAATTACAATATTTAGAAAAAAAGACAAGATAATTAAAAAAAATTTAAACCAAAGTTAGCATATGCACACAATTTAAATATCACAAATTTAATGTATAACAGTAATCCCCTACACACCCTTTCCCAAGTCCTCCTCCCTAGCCATTTTCAACTCTGGGATAATTATTTACTATTTAAAAAGTTATTATAGGACCTGGCCAGGTAGTTCAGTTGGTTAGAGCACTGTCCCAACATGCCAAGGATGCGGGTTTGATCCCCAGTCAGGGCATACACAAAAATTAACGAATGGCCCTGACCAGTGTAGCTCAGTTGGTTGGGGGTCATCACACAAAGGTGGCCGGTTCGATTCCTGGTCAGGGCACATGCCTGGGTGGTGGATTCCATCCCTGGTCAGGGTGCATACGAGAGGCAACTGACTGATCTCTCTCTCTCACATCAATGTTCCTCTCCCTCTCTTTCTCCCTCCCTTTCCCTCTCTCTAATAAATAAATAAACATTTAAAAAACAGAATCAACCAAATCAGGAGTAAATAGAATAACAAATCAACGTTTCTCTCTTCCTCTTTCTCTCTAAAAATCAAAATAAAATAAAAGAAATAAAAAGTCATTATATCCATTGAGTCTCCATTTCTTTATCCATTTATGCATTATTTTCAAACACCAATATGTCTTGATGCAACCCAACATTATTCTGAAAAAGCTTGTGAATGAAAGAGCTCTGATAGAGAGTCTGGTCGTCTCTCCAAACATCCTGTTGTAATTTTATTATAATAGCAAAAATAATCATTCTTGCCCTGGCTGGCATAGCTCAGTGGATTGAGCACGGGCTGCGAACCAAAGTGTCGCAGGTTCGATTCCCAGTCAGGGTACATGCCTGGGTTGCAGGCCATGACCCCCAGCAACCACACATTGATGTTTCTCTCTCTCTTTCTCCCACCCTTCCCTCTCTAAAAATAAATAAATAAAATCTTTAAAAAAATAATGATAATAATTTTTATGCTTAGAGGGCTTTGGTTTATATGGTCTTTCAGGACCTACTCTCTCATTTGATTCCCAAAACCATCTGATGAGACAGACAATAAATATCAATATCACTCCCACTTTACAGGTCAGAACTGAGGCTCTGGAAGGGTCTCTCAGGTCCTAGGCCAGTTTTTGAATCACGGCCAACAGTCAATGAACAAATGGCACTTTTCTAACTTACCTGCTTCAGTTATATACTTAGAAACAGAAAACAAAGTTAGGAGAGAGAGTGAACACATCTTCTTCTGTAAGTAGTTGGCATCCCTACCTTGTTTGTTCATTTTCTTGAGGGTACTTATAAATAGAACAAAGTGTTTTCAAGCTAACTCAAAGGTGCCTAAGATCCACCAGTCTCTGACTCCCTTTCTCGCCCAAGAGGACTAAAACACAAAAGTCCTACACACACAGTTCTGCCTGAAAAAGTTTTCCCAGGTACTAAGGTAAAACCAAAGGGTATCTATCTAGTGTGGCAGCTTTCTGATCAAATCATTTCTTAACCTCAGCTGCACACATTCTCACCTTTGGGAAAGCAACTGTTCCATATCAATTCCTTCTCGCTGTTGATACTCCCTGAGAAGACTATGAGCATGATCTAGACTGACAACACCGCTGTAATCATCCTCATCTACGACACAGATGTAGTAGGACAGGAACTGTGGCACCATAGAAGGCACCCCAGGAAGCACAGGAACGGCAGCACCTGATACAGTATCCTGAAGGCGGAGGTCTTGGAGCTGGGAAGTCCAGTCTATGTCTTTGGCACTGTTAGAATCATTTCCAAAATCCAAGGTAAGCTGTGGTGAAGGCCTCTCCTCATTATCACTTCCCCAGTCATCTGCACCTTCACACCAATACTCAGCTGCAAGGCCATTTTCCTGTTTCTGGAAAAATATCCAGTGAATGAGGTCCAGGCACACCTAGGTGATCTCACCTATTCCCTTGGCTTCAGCCAGTAGTCCCTACACCCCCCTGAGGGAGACTCCACACCAGCCATTTCCCCTCTGGCACACTCTGATTCTCTTCCTGGGCCCCATTTACTCAAAAGCATGTCGGAGGTGTCAAACAGTGTCTTTCCTTTTTAGGGGCATTACAGCAGACGTGGTACAGTGTCTTCACCCACCCATTCCAAACTGAGTTGTGCTTCATGTAATGCAGAATCTGGTAGGAAAGAGCTACATTTTCTAGACTCCTTAGCAGCAAGTGGTCCAGATATGATGAGGGTTCTGCTAATCAGGTCCACTAGCCAGAGAGACCAACTTGTGAGACCATGAAGCAAAAGTTTGTAAATGGAGACAAAGCAAGGCTCTGGGGTCAACAGTTCTGACAAGGGCAGCTTTCAGTTCACCTCTGCTTCCTGACTGCAGCAGAGGCAGAACAGCAGCTCCCTGGCAGGCCAGTTCTGAGGTGTGGTTCTGGAGGTCATTCCTGGAGTTGCCTTCTCCAGGCCGTCCAAATAAGTTAGCAAAAACCTACTTTTAAGTCTATCTCACTTTTAATAAGTCAAAGTGTTTTTCTATTACCTTCAACTGCACCCTGACAAATATAGGCAGACACCACGCTCATCTTTTTATTCACAGTACTGCTAGTACTATGCCTGGCACATGTAAGAACTCAGCACATGCATAAAGTGACATTTACAGGCAAAAGGAGGCTGAATTTTGTTCTGCAGCTACCAGTTTGCCTGACTTTTGGATTATTGAGTTCAGATTTCATCTTACTAAATGTGTACTATACATAAACACATACCACAATAAGAATATTATAAACACATGTATGTATTACACACAACCGTGTATGTACATACACACTCATACTTTTCCCCAAATAGAAAAATCAATCAGCTATGTGTCTCAAGACCGTCGGTGCATATTAAAAGAAACAACTAATAAAACCTTAAACAAACAGCATTTATGGTTCAGAAAAGAGCAAAAATCACTCTAAAGTATTTCAAAGAACACAGCTTAAACTACGTCTTAAACAATATTCTAGCAAATACCCTCAAATCACAGCAAATGCTAACATACACAACCGCTTTACCTGAGTGTCCGGCGCCTCTTTCTTTCGCATCTGCAGGAACTGGGAACGGAACACCTTCCAGCTGAAGGGTAAAGATAACTGCTGTGAGAGCTCCAATCCCGGGGCGACCGGCACCGCCCCTAACTTCCGCCCGCACGGCAGAAACGCCCGAAGGGAGCTCTGGATCCCGCCCACCTACCTGCGCGCCCCGCCGCAGGCACACCGAGGACTGGGGCAAGCGAACACGTGCAGGAGCCGATGAAACGGGGAGCTTTCCAGCGGGCAGTACACCTGCACGACCAAGGCGAGGGGCTCCCTGCAACGTTCACACACTGGCCTCGGCGCTGCTACCGCGGGCAGGGCGTCCTAAGGACAGGGGCGGCGCTCAGACCCTACTGTGCCGCGGAACGGAGCCCACTCCTTCACCTCGTAGCCCTCACCAGCACCCGCCGACCCCAGTCCGAGGCCCCACCTCACCGGAAGGCCGCCAAGCTTGCTAGCAGTCCAGGCGCCCGGCCCCGCAGGGCAGCCGTGCACCGGCAAGTCTCGAAGGCCGAGCAGCACCGGTTTCGGCGGGGCCGCCATCACAGCGGGGAGCCCCGCTTGAAAAGACAACTACGGGAGCCGAGTTGGTACGCCCTCTGCGCAGGCGCACCTCCTGCTCCTGTCTGCCGAGCCGACCGCTCCTAAAATTAAAATAAAGGTTCTAACCTCAGGAAAGCTGGGGCGGGGAGAGGGGAATATCCTTTCCTAGGGTGGCGTGCTGAAGTCACGTAGGCGACTTTCGCTGTTCTGGCCTCAAAATCCGGGATCCCAGGCTTTCATGTGCCTCGTAATGCACCGCAGTAGGGTGGCACAGTCTACTGTGAAGTGCTATTGCCACAGTTTTACCTGAAATAAGCGGGAAAAGAGCATTATCGTTAACAAGGAAAAAAAAAGTCTTTAATTTTTTTAAAGATTACACATCAAAATGCTTATAGGTGAAATATCTAGAACTTGCCAAAACATGTTGGAGGAGTAGATAAAATAAGGCCTTGAGTTGATAATTATTGAAATTTGGTGTCAGACACATGGAGGCTTTTTATAGTTAGTTGTATGTTTGAAATTTTCCATGATAAAGTTTTTCATATGCCTGTGTCACAACATAGCTGAACTTCAAAAAACATGCTAAGTGCAAGAAGCCAGACACAAAAGGCCACATTCTGGAAACATGGTGAATTTTAAAAGATGAAGAAATCAGATCAGTGGGTTTCAGAGGTAAGGATTGACCACAAAAGGGTGCCAGGAACTTTTTGAGGTGATAAAAATGCTGAATATCTCAATTGTGGTTACATGACTGCATACATTTGTCAAGAATTCAGAACTGTACACCAAAAGAACGTAAATTATGTTTCAGTAAACCTGACTTTTAAAAAAGGCATGTTGCAAAGCATTATTTCAGGCTTCATACCTAGTGAGCAAAAGAAGAGTGCTTTTGAGGACTCACACTGCTACCAAACTCAAGAGGTTCACCACTTGGAGGGCTCTATTAAAAAATGAGACACGGTTGTCACAAGACAGTTTTGTTTACTTGTAGCAAGTAAAAGAGACAAGATTTAGAGCCAAAGCTCTGACTCCTGGAAGGGAGGCTTAGCCATTACTAATGTACACTATTTGGTCAATTACATGTTGATATCTTCTCTGCAGCTGGCTACTTTCATCAGGTTGAGTTCCCATCAGCTCATCCTGTGTACAGCTGAATCTGCAAAATACTGTGCTACATGTTAACATTTAGCAAGAATACCATTTAGAACTGCAAAGACTTTGAGACACTTGTCCATTCTAATACCTCAAAAAATACAGGTGACTCAAAGTTTGGCTCCAGCCCCAGAAAGGACTTGGAGATGAAACTGTTGATGGGAGAGACCTGGTTTTTCTTGCTGGCATAAGTAAAGAATTATAGACCAGCACATCTATTAGCGTGTAATGAGTCTATTAGTGATTCTTTTCCATGGAAGAAAACGGGACTTAGCTAGAGTGGAGGATGAAAGGCATAGTTTCCAGGGCAAAGAAGGGCAGCAAAAGTTAAGAGTGGCTGAAGACCAGGGTAGCAAGCCCCCGGGAGGCCCAAGAGCCAGGAGCCCAAAGAGCACCCCAAGGTCCCCAGAGAGAGCGAGTCTTTTGTTCTGAGGACTTACATAGTTGGTGGATGGAAGAAAATAGTTACATATTAACACATTGAGTAAAAGTTACATTAAGGGGTAAATGTGGTGCTAGCTTTGGGGGGGAGGTGACTACTTAAACTTAGGTATGTGTGGGGGTCTCTTAACCCAAATCCTTATCTTGCTCCAGACTCCATTTGTTCATTTTGTTATAAAACATATACATGACAGCAGGCAGTTAATTAAAATTGGGGCACTTTCCTCAAGTTATTTATGGGCTTTTTCTATAAGCATTAGGGACTCCCTTGTAAAACAGATAGTGACCAGAGGTAGATAATTAACCAGTTTTCTTACGGGCTCCTTCTTTAGGCACCGTGGACCCTCTCCCACATCCCAGGCCCTGGGATGAAAGTACAGTTTCAAGGCTTTCTTTCTCAGTGGGAATGCTACATAGAATTTCAAGGACTTCCCACCTTTCTTGCTACTATAGTGTTTCTGGTGATGTTGGAACACCTGGCAATATTATTGGACCAGGCTCAGGACTACTGAGTTAGTGTATGAGAATGTCTCCTTCCTCCTCCCTGCCTCGGTTTACTGTTCATTCTACCTAAGCGATAAATGCATTTCCTGGCAACCAGGATGCTAGACACTGGCCAGCAACAGCAGTGTAGTCTCAGAGTTCTTCCTATGCTGTCTCCTGCCTCAAAACCAGTTTAATCCTGGTTTATTAATGCCAATCTGATAGCTTTAAAAACGGCTGTGAGCCCTTGTTGGTGTGGCTCATTTGGAGTTTTGTCCTGCAACTGGAGGGTTCAGGTTCAGTTTCTGGTCAGGGTACATGCCTGGGTTGTGGAATCGCTCACAGGTGTAGGCGCGTGCAGGAAGTGACCAGTTGATGTTTCTCTCTCTGTTTCCCTTCCTCTCGCTTCAAAAGCAATGAAAAAATGTCCTCAGGTGAAGATACAAAAAAAAATTATTTTAAAGGGCTGTGAAGTCTGACCTTGGTGTTCACTTTAGGTCTATCCAAAGAGCTGGATGATTTGAAATGTTTCCCATGACATACGTTTATTTTTATTTTATTTTAAAGATATTATTCATTCAATTTCAGAGAGGGGAAGAGGGAGATGTGCGACAGAGACAGAAACATCAACTGGCCAGCAACCCAGGCACGTGCCCCAACATGGAATCAAACCGGCCAGCCCCCAGCTTGCAGGCCAGCCCTCAGTCCACTGCGCCACACCAGCTGGGGCTCCCATAACATATTTGTAAATTACAGCAAAAAGAATCAAACTTCAAAATTCTTACTATTCTTACTACCACAGTAATACAGCCTCCAACCGTTACTGATCACTCTCCGACACCGGTCACGTGTCTACATCATAACATCATCTGTTACAGTGAAGTGTGAGGGCAACATGAAGGCCTGCCACGTGAGATGAATTTTCAGGATGTTCATTGCTGGGGTTCCACATTCTGGAACCCCAGAGGCAATTTAACATCAAAGTTGACAATTACATCATTGCAGAGTCCTTGGAACAATGTAACAAAAAAGTGCTTACACATGTGATTTGAGGGATCCAACTTAATTTGCGATTTTTCTAGGGTTTGGATTACCTGACAAACTCACACAAATCGACAAGTTACAATACAGTTTATTTGAGGAAATACAGAATAAAGATTCCGAAAGCTGTTTTAATCTCACACTGAGGAGCTACCTGTTTGTGACGGTTAACTTTTCGTGTCTGTCAGCTGGGCTAAGGGATTCCCAGGTAGCTGGTGAAATATTTCTGGGATTGTCTGCAGTGTTTCCAGAAGAGCATTTGAATCAGCAAGCTGAGGAAAGAGGAGCACCCTCCCCAGTATGGCTGGGCATCGAGACAGCTGGAATAGAACAAAAAAGGACGAAGGACGAATTCTCTCTTCTTGAGCTGGGACATCCATCTTCTGTTGCCCTTGGACCTCTGAGCCCGGGGTTCTCAGACCTTCACTCTGGGATTTACACCAGCGGCGCCCCTGAATTCTTAAGCTTTCACTCAGACTGTGGTGCACCCTGGCTTCCCTGGTCCTTCCGCTTGCAGACGGGGTATCATGGGACTTTTCAGCCTCTATAATCAGATGAGCTGATTCCCACAGTATATCAGATAACCATGTGTATTGTGTTGGTTCGGTTTCTCTGAAGAACTTAAATTCATACCCATCCAATACTTGAAACAACAGGCAGCCTTGGGACACTAAAGTGGCAGCCACAAGTGATGACAGTGGGACTGATGAGGGGTAGGAGAATAAGAAAGGGCAAAGTGACATGTGGCCAGTGGTCATGTGCCAGTTCCTCCTGCATAAGACGAGAGAACTGGCAGCTGGTCCAGCGCAGAGGCCCACTGCTAACAGAGCTTTCATGGGAAGCCAAGTTAGCCCGAGGGTCTGCCACCTTGAATTTTTCCTGTCTGCAGAATTCTTTGGTGTTTATTTTGTAACAGAGGAAGTGGCTCTGATGGGAAAGGCCTTCACTTTACATCAGTTATATTAAGAAAGAAGGTGGATCAGCAGGAGCGTAAAAAGAGCTCACCTGTCAAAGAACATCTACCCCGGCTGCAAAGGTGGGGTGAGAAGGGGACATTTTCACTTCTGTAATTAATAAAACCTACTTCACCAATAGAAAGATGAGGAGTGCTGACCATTTCCAAGTATCATTTCAAGTGGACATTTGCACCAGTGTGGTCACTTTCGAGAATCACGATATTCACCAAGACCATGGGGGTGCAGTTTGCCCTCTTACAGGAGCAAAAAAAAACATGAATCCTGGGTTTCTGTCTTACGGAAAGTCTGTGGCCAAACCAGAGCACAGCTCAGCAGTGGGCGACCCAGCAGAGAATGGGCTACTAAACGCAGCCTGGCTGGCAGGGCTGAGGGCAGCGAGTTCCCCATCTGGATTTTGTATCCTGGGCTGGAGGATAAGTCCTGACAGCTCAGCCTCTGGCCTTCTCATCGATTCTACCCATCGCTCTTTAAAACTCCTTTTCTCCTTAATTAGCCAGAAATATTATTTAATAACTTGAATAAAAGATAAAAGAGTAGTTCGTTCAAAAATCCTGGCCTCTGGCCAGGTGATGGCAGTCACCCTTGATCCAGGGATTCACCACAAACAGATGGGATCTCAGGTCAGTTTTTGAAACCATCCAGTGAACAGAAGTATACAATTCCTCCAAAGTCACAGAGGTGAGGAGTGGAAGATGGAGACGAGGTTTGATTACAGAGGCCAGGTTGCCCCTGTGACTCTGACATTACCCCCCGCCCCCCAGTCTCTTCTCAAGTAAGGGACCACCCTCCACTCTGGACCTGCTCACCACTTACAGCCAGGCCTCCGTCAAGGCACATCACTCCTCCTGCTAACTTCTGCATAAAGCACCATCTCAGGAAGCAAGAGGCTGAGCTTATAACCTCCTTTGTGGCATCTTTATTTTTCCACCTGGCACATGAACAAT